ATAGATAGATAAACCGATATGTTGCGCCATCTAGTGTACCTAAATTCATGTAGAAATTCTCATATAAGTGACCCGAAAAACGGGGCTAACTTGGTAACCCGTGGCCCGATTTTAACGAAACTTATTTTATTCTGTTTCTATTCTAATTTCATTATAAATATGGCGCTATTGTGCGCCGTTTTTGCTGTATTTAATTACAGACAAACAATCTCAGAGTTTCAGTAGTATATAGATTAAAAGGAATATTTTATGGTTAGTGCTGATTGAGTATAGATAATACTCTATATAGTTTTATACTACATAGGGTTTCAATCTGTACTTGTGAACTGAAGGAGACCATAAGTATACGTCCAGTGTGCCTCTTCCTCTTCTCAACAGTATGAGAAGCTTATTGAAATAAGCGTATAAAGAACAACAAGTTATGAAGAACACATTAGTTATTCAAGATAAATATTTGAATATTATGTCATACGTCACTCTCTAGACCTCAGTCATTCAATATTATGTCATACGTCACTCTCTAGACCTCAGTCATTCAATATTATGTCATACGTCACTCTCTAGATCTCAGTCATTCAATATTATGTTATACGTCACTCTCTAGACCTCAGTCATTCAATATTATGTTATACGTCACTCTCTATACCTCAGTCATTCAATATTATGTCATATGTCACTCTCTAGACCTCAGTCATTCAATATTATGTCATACGCCACTCTCTAGATCTCAGTAATTGAATATTATGTCATACATTTGACATAATATTGAATGACTGAGATTTAGAGGGTGATGTATGACATAATATTGAACGATTGAGACTAGAGAGTGATGTATGACATGATATTGAACGATTGAGACTAGATTATAAATCATCCTCTAAATCTCAATAATTCAATATTATGTCATACATGACTTTCTACATCTCTTTTGTTTAACGTCACATTATGCGTCATAACTCTTTCAGTTATTGAACATGGTAAAAATGTTTCAATCTCTACCTTTCAAGTTATCGTTAGAAATCTAATCTTCGTTTTACAGCTACTCAGTACCATATATTACTTCAATCTATGAAATTCAGTTATTAACTAAATGAATAACTTTTAGTAGTTTGTTATTGTTAACTTATCAGTCAATATAAGCCAGTAAATAGTGTTGATAAATGGGTATAGTTATATAAGTTTTGATTTACTAAAAGTAATATTTGATTAATAGCATGTAAAATCACTTTGAAAAGTTTGCAAACAAATATAATAATTTTATTTTTTTTGTAAATGAAGTCATTACTTACACTATACTTTACTATTCCAAGTAATGATTATTTGTAGGGATAATAACAAATTTTGTACATGCTAAATCATCCATTATTTAATGCGAACCTTACCACAAAAACGTCTTAACAGAATGATATTTAACCTCAGTTTAATCGCCAATAATAATATTTCAGTTGAAATATAAGTTTATTTGTTCAAACTCTTTACATTACTGTTATAATGTTGTCCATATTAGATGCCTAACTAATTACTAAAACGTAAGTAAATTATTGACATTATACACATCACAACTTTTCCCATAACTGCATGCGAATCAACAGTAAAAAATAAAAAAACAGTAACTTCAGACAGCCAGTTTAAGTCAAACCAATAAGTTCAGAGAGCCAACTGAAGTGCAAATGTCATAAGAAAAAGAGCTTATGAAATATTCAAAATAACAGTTATTGAATCCATAATCCTACCGAAATCCACTGGAAGCAATGTTCTAGAAACATGGAAAGCCCATGGATGCATTAGTGTTAAACAGATTGGCCTAGCTGCCCAAATATAATCCCACCTTGACCAGTGTGAACTTGAAATGTGTTGTGAAATAAAATCTTGCATTAAATCAGCGACCGAGACCTTAATGAGGTCTAAGGGCTGCAGCACGTCCACATGCCGCCGAATTTCATGACATTAAATCAGTGACCGAGACCTTAATGAGGTCTAAGGGCTACAGCACGTCCACATGCCGCCGAATTTCATGACATTAAATCAGTGACCGAGACCTTAATGAGGTCTAAGGGCTACAACACGTCCACATGCCGCCGAATTTCATGACAATAAATCAGTGACCGAGACCTTAATGAGGTCTAAGGACTGCAGCAGCACGCCCACATGCTGCTGATTTCATGACATTAAATCAGGACCGAGACCTTAATGAGGTCTAAGGGCTGCAGCAGTACGTCCACATGCTGCTGAATTTCACAGGAGCTGCTTATTACAGCCTAGATTCAAGGAGTCGGGCTTAAACGGTGTATTAACCGTCCATATTAGGGTGAGAACAATGGAAACTTATCACGTGGAGTAAGGAAACTCATTATTTAGTGTATGATTCTAATAGACTGACCTAAGCTGATTGCCTATTGGAGAGTGCATTGGGCAAAGAGTGGTGGGCAAAGTATCATAATGTGGGCTGCTTACTTGATAGTAGCTAATAAAACTTCTTTACTTAATGGGATACTTGAAATAATATTACATTCCCTTATTGATGGAAATTTATAGAGAAGGACCATATCTCCTTCAAGAGACTCCAGGAACCTTGACCAGGGCTTGAATCCAGGACCTCTGGCTAACAAGGCCAGTACTTCACCAGTGAGCTATCCAAGAGTACAAACCATTCACGTCAATGTTTACTTAAAAAATACTTCTTTCTATAGATATGTTCACTATTTTGCTTTAATGGTTAACACCCAATCAAGTTATATGAAATATATCTCACATTTACATTTATTTTTATATTTCGTTAGGAATCTGTCATAGGACAATTTTTAAAATTAAATGAAAAAGCCATAAATGAAGTGAGACACTAGGAACCTAAACCTGAACCCAGGACCTCTGGCAGTCAAGGACCTCTGGCAGTTAAGGCCAATGCTCAACAGACTGAGCTATTCACGAGTATAAGCCGTTAAAAATTGACAGGATTATTTGCCCTCTCATGAGCTACTTGAACAGGAACTCATTCATTAGTTAGTGAAATAGCAAATCATGTCATATCCTCATCGTCCCACCACAAGTTCTCCCGCCATCAAAAAAATGTGATGTAACAATCTATCCGAAAAATCAGCTTAATGTAAACTGAATCATTCCGCTAGTAAATGTAAATCTTATGATTATGTTATAACAATTAACGTACCAAAATATTATAATGCATTGTTTGTCCAAGCTTATTGGAGGTGGTACATCCTAACAACTTTACTCACACCAAAACCATGAAGATAACAGTAAAGTTGCTAATCAACAAAGAACTAAATCTCATATTATAATTTCCTGATCATAATTGTTAGCAATTAACTTGAAAATGTCTGGATTATTAGGTTACCTCGACAAGGACCAAAATATGCTACTTCCAAGTTTGAATTTTTCCTACAGCGAACCTTCAACAGTTTACAGATGTTTCTGTATGTCTTGCCATCGTTTCCACACACGGCTCCTACTCGACGCTTCCATTTCGGGCATTTTGGTCGACAAACACACTTTGGCTTACCACGTTTCATCTTGCATGCTCTCCCATCCGGGCATTTCACGCCCACACAAGATTCTGGGAAAACAGTAATAAAGTGGATGCCATATGAACATTTTATGAGTATTGATTCACAAATAAAAAATATATTATGTTAGGTTAATGCTATTCAGTATATAAGGTGGATTCTTGTTTATTAGAAATCGTGTCTCTTATCGTACAGTTTAATTTTGAAATTTAAGTTGTAAATAAGAATATAAATTATGCAAAACTTCTACTGTCAATACATGTATGCTTAGGAATGTTTGTACTGTATGTTTTGAGTAAATTTATCTGATCGCTGTTGTTTAGTAAATCAATTAACAACATTCATTTATTGAAGAGAAATGTTTCCACATTACTGATCTTCAGCAATGCTCTTCATAAGTTTTTCAAAATATCTCTCTGTGCACTAAACAGAAATGTTTCTGAAATAGACAGCACAAACATTCATATCTATTCCATTGGTATTTAAATATAGATTTCAGAAGATAGAATACGATCTTTTCCTACAACTTTCCTACAAAATATTCGAAAAATCTGCCCCAAAACATGTAAATATATTTTCCAGTTTAGCTAAATGTTTCAAGAGTAAATAAAAAAAAAAGAAGGATTATGCAGATTCTAGAAAACATCAGTATAGCAGTAACGTAAAAGACAACATTTAAAGAATGTGTATAATCACGGCAGATAGAGGATTATATATAGTTAAACTTCTACAGCATATAGTTTCTCAAATAGCGTCTATTCTGCAGCTGCTATAGTAGATTAAATGGTAACATAACTCCCAATGATCTAATAACCTGAATTTTCACATCATCTGGTACACTGTTGGAGCTGCAAAACATAAAATTAATCTGTTCTTAATAAATTAGTGTTTGCTAAGTGTTTCATAAATTTTCTTTAAACACTTGTGTGTAGATACTATTTGTAGGATCGACAATAATCTTTAAACAAACAATGTATCTGATTCGGTACTTGAATTAAATGAGGACACTATTACCAGTGTTAAAATTTTTTTATATCAATTCCGTCTCCGTTAAAAAAATTAAGAGTGAGACCTCACTGAGACAGCCTTAATAGAGACACGTGCGTACAGTCAGTCGTAATGATTCACCATCTGCTAAATATATCTCCACCAACATTTGGTAAAGCTGGATTTTAGTTTGTCTTATGCAAGTTGTTGCTAAGTGTTAATTTTGACCTAATTAATGACTTATCAATGAGGTAATTAAATTAACGATATATTTATATAGAGAAAGTACCAGTATAATGTACGTTCTCTCCAGATTAATTTAAGGTTCTCCTTGTTAAGTGGTTACGATTCAAGCACTCATCTGGCTAGTATGTAACGGATCATTAGTGTCTGTACAACTTTAGTATTATATATACATTAATTTAAGTACACAGTTTAGAAAACGGTCAACAGTCTCATAATAAAGGTTTTTAATTGTGTACTTAAAAAACATTGGTTGTTTGAATGTTGTAATTATTTATATTAACACAAGTACCCTGCATTCTAACATGTTAATAAATTACTTATATAAAAATAACTTATTTCAAAATAACCCAGTCTTTCCACAGATTAAGATATTTTGTTAAAACTCATTTTACGAACTGATCTTAGTTTCAAACGAACCCAAAGACCATTACCTCTATACTGAATCCTGCCACCAGTGTATTAATATAATTTATTCTTTGAGACAATGGGGTATTGTCTTCGTCAAGATATGATCACCGAATCATTGATCTAAATTATTTCTACAAGTTTTCAAATGGATACTTCAAGAAAATACATTTTCTTGTATCACCAGAAAGCTAAGGTATTTAATCCACAGTTTGACACATCTCTTGTATCATCAGAAAGCTAAGGTATTTAAGCCACAGTTTGATACATCTCTTGTACCACCAGAAAGCTAAGGTATTTAAGCCACAGTTTGATACACCTCCTGTACCACCAGAAAGCTAAGGTATTTAAGCCACAGTTTGATACATCTCTTGTACCACCAGAAAGCTAAGGTATTTAAGCCACAGTTTAATACATCTCTTGTATCACCAGAAAGCT